CTCGCCAAGGTAAGTCCGAGAGTGAGTGCTGAAATCCGAAACCTTAAACCCTTGCTTGATCTCAAGGACCCCCCCCCCCCCCCCACTCTCACTTGTGAATCAGCTGATGCTCCAAGACCCAGGGTTTCGCAGCAGCACAATCTCAATGGCGCTGAAGTTTCTATCGTTGCGACAATGCTATCTCGGTGCCACGGGGGCTAACCCTTTTATGCAAGTATGTCCAGCAGTTCAGGCGCCGGATACGACATCCTGTCCACAACGGTTGCTTTTTTGCACAGGGCAGGTTACAAATGTCCCGTGTGCCTTCTGCACATCCTGCGTTCTGACTGTTGTAGCTAAGGTTTTTGTGAAGTGTGCGCGGACAAAAGACCCCATCCACATCCATCCACGCACGGGCACACGACTCTTCCACAAACACAGCAAGCACATTTGCCCAAAACAGTTGACACCGCAGGCAGTCCCGTTCACATGCAAGGTGAATTCTTCTTTGCACTCTCACATCAGTGGCCTGACCAAGAGAAGCGACGTGATGCTCCGACCGAAGGCCCTCGCATCCACGGCACATACGGCACTCAGAGCTTGGATTCAATCTCGAATTTGCAGGTTCTGTGCGAGATAGTATGGCCTTGATTCGGATGCGATATGATGTCGCAGGTGCCTTCTGCTATTGCAGAGTTGCCATGGCTGCAACGGAAGCTGGCAAAGCTCGCTGTGGATTGCAGTGCGTTGGCAGCTTGGACGGTGCTAGACCAGGAGGTCTCGGGTGAGGTTTCCACATACCATTCTTCGGGTGCTGGTCAGGGTTTTTCGTATTGAAAACAAATGAAAACCTTCGGATCGAAAGCAAAGTCTGGCTTTCACTGGCAGGTTTGTGGGCAGTGGTGGTGGTGGTGGTGGATAGAGGGGTGGGCAATTTTCCGCCGGTTTTATGCGCTCGGTGGCAAATGCTTGGGGAGAGGGTTGCGACCCGAGCTCCAGCATGAAGATTTCGCCAGGGATCGTCGGGAGGCATTTTGAGGCACTGTGACCCAGCTTGAGTTCGAACAACCACGTAGCACTACTGCGAAGGCCCCTGCTATGATGTTGCCGCTTAGATAGGGTGCGATTGGGGCTACGTGGCATGTGTTCCTGCATATTGTGTCGAGCGACAGACGCGGCCTGCAGTTGAGGCTTTTTTTGACATGGAGAATGAGGAGAGAGGCTGTGCTCGATTGCCATTGTACAGAACACTGCCCCCTGTGAGTCAAGTGCGACAGGTAGTGACACAAGGCGTCTGATATTCGTTGGATGTGCTTTGGCAGAGCGCCCCAGCAGCTTTGCCTAAAGTATTGCGAGGCAGTTATATCCGACAGGACTTGTATGAGTGCTCAGGACTAGTAACGACGCTTCGTGCAGAAGCGAACACCTTCATCGACAAGGCGAAGTTTTACAAGGATGGGATACCGGAAAGTATTGAGTCAACCACTCTCTGCTTTCATGGCTCACAGTAAAGGAAGTCGGTTCACACGTGCCACAGCTGTGGGTAACACATCAGAGGACAAGGATTGGTCGTTGGAAGAATGCAATGAGGCAGGTGCACATTGATTCTCGCTCGTGCAGTGTCGCTGCACTTTTTCCTTGTGCGGCGGCCATGGATGCTTATCGTGGCAAAGCTGAACTCGACAGTCATAGGCAGCAGTAAGGCAAACCCACCACCTCGAAGCGGCAGACAACAACAACTAGGTGCCACGAAGTGCACGAGTGGGCAGAAGCAGTTTAGATGGTGTATCGCGAATGTTGGGATTCAGTAACGCTTAATTAAACAGGGAAAGTACCGATGCAAAGAGACACTCTTCTTTCCCTGGTTGATATGTTTGTCCTTGGCTCATCGTTGTTCGCTCCAACTGGATGCTACCGACCTGTGGACTGCGAGGCAGAGCAAACAGAGAAGCTTGCGAGGAAAGAAGAAAGCAAGGACGGCAAGAAAAGCTGCTTGAGCTGACTTGTGGAAATCCTTGTCGAACGAAACGGACTTTCTTCCCTTGCGCAGATGTTGTTCGAGCGCATGGCCGAGGCCGGTTCGGAAAGAGCGCCTTCAGGTTCAGCTTCAGCGTGTGCGTAGGTAATGAAGTTGAGCTAGGGGCAGGTATTGGAACCGCTTGAGTCTTACATCCTGCTCACTGTCCAAGAAGATCCAGACATTGGGGGCAGGCTCGGGGCCTTCATGGCCAGGATCGTGGAAAGGGCGAACAAGGCAAAGGAGAACACGGCAAAGCAAAGGGACCAGAAGGAGCAGGCAAAGGCAAGGCTTCCAAGCAAGACAAGGACTGACCCTTCGGGGCTAAGGGGGACAGGGTAGGGGGCCCTTAGTACCCCTTAAAGGGACCTGATAGGGGCTGGGTTTTGTAGGGAAGTATAGTCACTTAAACTCCGATATAACCTCCCGTTTAGGCCTTTATGAGTCTGACAGTACAAGTAGCTGGTCATACTCTGGAGGAGGGCTATGTGGAAGCCAGCGACAAAAAGGAGCAGGATGGCATTGAGGCGACATGTTCTGCACAGCAACGTTCAGCCGAATCTGTGCTTGCTTGGTGTCGAAGATCATTGCCAGGGGACATCAGAAGACCCCGGTCGACAGAAGGGCCGAGTCAAAGGCAAGGGGAGCGGCAAGGTCGACGGCAAGGGCCACAACAAAGGCCCTTCCTGGCTGAGAGATTCTGCGATGGGTTCGGGTAGGATTGACGCATACTGTAGCAGCCCGCCGCCGCCATAGCTTAAGCATGTAAGAATGACGCCAAGAAAAAGTAGAACAAAGCCCTTCAACCATAAATGCCCTGGCCCCCTTGCGCATGTCTCGGAAGTCTTCATTGCAAGTACAACCTCAAGAGACAGATTTGGAAGACGGGAGACGTCGTTATTCGGTTAACCGTTAACCTTTAAAGTTAATCATACAAAGTTGATGTTTGTCAAGCCTTTGGCCCTTCTTCAGAACATGCACGTGCAGCCTTGGTTTTCCATCTCGAACAATCAGTGAAACATCATGTGCCAGAGCCATTCTGCAAGTTGCCCCGTCGATAGACCTACAACTCAACCGGGGCCAGTGGACCAAGTCAGAGGGTAGTAGAAGGCTGTGTTGGTTGGGGTTGAAACGACAAGGTGGACGGGTTTTCGATTTCCTGTGCCTTAATTAAGCCACATTGAAGCAGAATCGGCCATTTCGATCATCTACTCCTTGATTTTTATTTGGAGTTCTCGTATTAAGAAGAGTCAGCGATGTTCCGCATCTATCGCCGAGCACTCTTATCGACGCTGATATATCCCACCGGTTGGCTCTACTGTGTTTGGCAACTTGTGCGGCCTGCACTATGCCACTATGCAGTGTGCATGCAGGTAAGATTATCTTTGTCGCCGGGGAGCAGCCAAGCGACGAGACTGAGTGCCTGTGCTGGATTACTGGTATTGGCCCAGTGATTTGCAGACCCCTGTCCCTTGATGTGCGGGAAGCGAAGGTCGCGGATTGACACGGGACTCACTGCCACTCACATCGTCGCAGAAGATGTCGCAATGCCAGCCAGAGTTGCTGAGGCACAACCATGCACTCCAGCATTCAACAACAGCAATTCTACTGGGCGGCGAGTTGATACAGTAGACACTGCGGGTTCAGCCGTGTCTGCGCGGCAATTTACTTCTGGCTTGCAGAGACCACGTGGAGCACCACCCCCTGCCAGCGCTGCTGTGGCAACTTCGGGCAATCTGCAGAGCTCCCTCGCGGCTTTCGCTCCTGCACCCCCAAAAACCCCGGCACTGGCCAGTGCAGCCAGAACTGATTCCATCGCACCTCCCAGAACCCCGGCTCCAGGGTTGCCACACGAGCCTGTAGCCCCACCTAGAACACCAGCACCCTCAGCCCAGGCCGTGTCCGTCGCCCCGCCTCGAACGCCGGCTGTGCCTCAGCTCTCTGCGCGTGACGGATTCGTCGCCCCTCCTGCAACCCCAGGGATGTCGATTGCACCCCCGAAAACACCAGGCCTACCTCGAGATTCGATTCCTCCCCCAAGCACACCTGCACCAGGGGTGGCTAGGGCGAACATGGGGAGGTCATTGCTCGCGGAGCCAGGTGTGGCTCCGCCGAGAACACCTGCACTGCCCGTTGGCCACGCACGCGCCGAGAGTGTGGCTCCACCGAAAACGCCTGCAGTTCCTAGTCCTTATGCACGTGTCGAGGCCGTAGCATTGCCAAAAACGCCAGCATTGCCAGCTTCTGCTGTGGCTCCTCCGAAGACCCCGGCCGTGCCGGGATCTCATGTCCATCCAGTTTCAGCTTCTGTCACTCCGAAAACACCGGCGGTTGCTGCGATCATTCCGGGGCCGCAGACTCCAGGCCCATGTCTTGCAGCCGCCTCCCCGCTGCAGACACCAGCGGCACACACAGCAGGCCATGCACCGCCACAGCCGCATACCCCGGCCAGTCCTGCATTGGCTGCAGACAGCCGAACGCGGCTTGGAGGCAGTTATGGACTCAATTTGCATGCCTTTACGACAGAGTGAGTAAGGCGCTTCGTCCAAGAATTGAGTTCCTAACCGCAATCAGCAGAGAGTTACGAAGGCATTACTGAGAGCCAGAGCGAGAGAGAGGCAGCACTCATGGAAGACAGAAAGAGCTGGCGAAGGAAAGCCGCCTCGGGGACGGTCGCCTGGGGGGGGCAGAGCTTGCAGAAGAAGTCAGAGGTGCAAGAACACAGAGGAAGGAGAGGGTGAAGCTAAACGCGGACACAGAGGAGCGGAAGCGCATGAAAGCAAGAAAACAACGACGATCTTGCCGGAAGACCAAACCCTAAGTAGGGCACGGGGGTCATCAAGGAGAGATCCTGCCACGCTGACTCGATGAAAGGAATGCGTCTGCAAGGCAAGAAGAGAAGACGTGTTGGCCGGAATCGCGGAAGCCCTGGAAGCCCAGAAACAAGATGCGTAAAGCTTAGAAAAGAACATCAGAACACCTGATGAGGAAGTTCATACAGGCGGTGGTTGAAGACAGCATGCGCCACATCCTCTGGATGCCTCTGTGTGATAGCTGCTGGGATGGACACCCGAGGGCAGCCCTTAGGCTGGACGCCATTCCCCGTAAAGCAGAAATTAGAGGCAGAAAGGAGGGAGCGAAAGCAATCGGAGAAGGTGCAAAGGTTCGAAGCAGGGAATGAGAAAGGTAGAAAGTGTCCAAACAAAGGCAAGCTCACCCCAGGGCATCCCAGAGCCAACCGACCCGCTGCAGACCAGCCGGCACACACCAGCGGCACAAAGGGAAAGAGGGCAAGTACCTGTGAGGTGCACCGGAAAGAAAGGACGAGAGGGAGAGAGGCAGACGGAGTGCCAAGGGCCTGGGACACATGGGCGAAGTCCGAACTTCGAAGGCACAGTGTAAGCCCAGGGACACTCAAATATTTTCACTGGTGCAGCCCCCGTTAAGATTATCAGAAGTGGAGCAATTCATGACCATTTCATGAACAGCTAGCTGTTTCTCTTGAGTCATTCCATGGCGGGCTCGTCGACTTGGACGGACGCGGCATGGAGGTATGTCTTGCTTGGTCTGCGGTAAGCTGCGATGCTAAAGTCTCAAAATGCGAGGCATCTCGTAGCTGCCTTGTGAGTGTGCGAGCACCGGTCACAGGTAGGACCAAGAAGACCAGGCTGAACTGGACTTGCTGTTGAAAGATATCGTGGTTCAAATGCCTTGCCGTTTCAGCAAATGATTTGGACTTACGGATGACGAATCGAGAAGAAGCTTACAAGAATGTAAATAGTAATTACGGCTGTATACATACATTGTATAGGCACTGGCACCCACACGCCGATGCATGTGGCAATGTCGTGATTCATACAACTGCAGATGCTGTGTTTTCTGCCTATTTGTGTCATGTCCCAAATGATGCAGCAGGATTGGGCATGTGCCTCTTTTGAGGTTGCGCTCAGCTGCCGGTTTCGCCAAGCCGACGCCGAAGACATCGCCTACTGCGCCACCATCCTCGGAGCCAGACTTGAGTTGGACTGTCGATATTGTTCCCAAAACGCCAGCACGCATTGCATCTGGGACCATGGTGCCCAAGACACCAGCAGCAATAAGCAGAAGCAGAGATTCTGTTGCAAGTGCTCCTGCGCCTGCACCGCAAACACCTGCGGCCTTGAAGGCAATGTCGGACAGGCTTGTCCAACCAAAAACACCAGCAGCACTGGCTCGAAATTCAAGGGCCTCCAAGCCCGCGCCACAAACGCCAGCTGAATTGACGAAACGGAAGGCTGAAGCCATTTCAGACAATCCTCCGGTTCCGAAAACACCGGTCGCCATGAAAATGCGGCCAAACTCTCCACCCGTGCAGGCGGACCTCGAACCTTTACCGATTCACGTCTGCATCTATTAAACTAGAGCGCTTCAATGCACAGGTAGGAGACCCTTTGTTCTAATGATCTCCCACTAAGGCTGAGGTTTGCGCCGAGACGCGGCTCGGCACTCAAAAAAACATGCCTACGAACAGATAGAAATACTCGATAGATCTCATGATTTTTCATATTCTTGAATGCATCTACTGAAACTACGTATTCGTTATTATTTCAATCTATTTCGAAATTTTATATATGATATATAAAGTTGTAAATCATTACAAGATGACATTTTCAGACTAAATACTGTAACAAATGTTGAAATACTTGCCATCTTTGTAGTATCTCTTCAAATACACAAGCTAAAATATATTGAAAAACTAGATATTTTCATTATATTAAAATATTCTGTAATCTTCAAAAGAAGAACATTTTGAAAGTCTACTATTCTAGTAGAAGAAGTCATGAGTTGGATATAACTAAAAAGATTTTTTGTGAAATTTCGTAATATTTATAGGAAACATTTGTCTTTTAATTTTACCTGATTTTATTTTTGGATTTTTGATTTAAGAATTATGTAGGGGGTTTTTATGAGGATTATATTGATATTTATTCGTAGCGCGAAGTCGTATTCTTTAATGTTTGGATCGTATATGCGTATTTCTTGAATTTGGAAGTGAATTCTGAGGTAGATAGTCGAAATATATTCATTATTTCTAATGATTATGATAAGTTAGATTTTAAAGCTCGAATATATTATAATACGATATTCTTTTATAAGGGAGAAGGTTATTATATTTCTAAGATTTATTGGGTCGTTAAATTTAAAATATATTTAGGAATTACGATATGGAACTTAATAATGAATTTATATCTAGAATATAAGCGTCGATTATGATGATCGATGATATTTAGGTTTTAGATGAGCTTATATTTTTAAGAAATAGGATTATATATTACTCGAAAATTGAAGATCTAATATTAAAGACTAAAATTAAAGGTTATTGATGTGAAGATAGATAAAGGAATTAGGCGATTTTAATATATATATATATTCTAAGATCTATATCCATAACGATAAATATAATTTTCAAGAATAATATTAAGATATTACGCGTATATTTCTAATTAATTCTCTATCTATGATGATAGATATATTTCATTATTCCTACCGTTATGATTTATTGGATATGAGACGTATATTTACCGAGGTTTTGATTCTTGGAAGGGAAGTATATATATCTTGTGGCTGCATAGATTATAGAAATTTCTATGTAGTCGTGGTAGTATGCGAACTGGATATTTATTTCTTCGATGTGTCTGCCGTCGCAATTATTTGTCTTCTTAGAATTGAATTATACCTATTGTCGTGGTCGCCTTGTGATTGGAAGCACATTTATTTGACGATATGGTCGCCAAGTATTGGGAAGTATTTCTACCGTCAACTAAGTGATCGGATGCTATATACCTTTCTAAGAACCTCTATGGTTGGCGTATTCCCAAGAATTATGACCACAACAGCAGGTCCTTGCAAAGTACACTTCCAAGCACCTTGACTATAATGGCGTATAAAACCACGAAACCATGACCACAACATACCACAACGGTAGGT